CATATTATATAGAGAGACAAACTGAGAGTGGTGATAGCTAGAGATTATATTCTGTATTCAACTTGCCTTCTGAATTGACATCGCATGAACGAGTACCGCCTTATGTCAATAGGGTCACGCCATAATTTAATCATTGGTAATATTTGGGGTCATGCTTTATTCTAGACAAACAGACCCACACATCCTACTTTTTAATTATATTATCCATACTGTTCTTTATCCAGATTTTCTTATTTAGTACCCAATATGGAATATATTTCTATGTTCATAAACATGGATTTGTGTCATATGTAAATTTTTGGATAATATTTTATAGAACAGGGTTATGAGTTTTCTTCAATCCTATATTGACAGTCATTTAAAATTTTTTCTTTCTTTTTTTTTTTTGTTAAAAATGAAAGCACTGTGAGGACTGCCTGATTACATAGCTATGCACTCTGGAATTCTTTCTTTAGAACCGGTTCTGAAGCTGCAGTTCCTACGGTGGAGTTGAGGGAGTGTGCGCTTCCAATTCCTGCCTGTTGTCCTGGAGGTCGGCCACGACTCTATCCCCAACAGCAGTTTATGGGCAAGAATGTCCAAAATCTTTTTGCACATTGAACATTCTTCTTAATCTAGGCTGGTTTGGGGCTATAAATTATATCTCACTGTGGCTTTTACAAATTTATTGGTCATTTGCATTTCATTTTATTTGAGACTGTTTGTATTCTCTCTTTGCTTCTAAAAGTTGGTGTGTTTGCCTTTTCCTACGAGTTTTTATAAGACCTTTTTAGGTAATAGCAATTTTAATTCTTTTATATGTATTTGGCAATTCCCTTCCTGCTCGCCATTCCCCCCAGTTTTCCATATCTCTTAATTTTGTGCTTGGCAGGTTTTTGTTTTATTTCAGAGCACATTTTAAGTTTTTATGTATTAACATCTATTAGTCTTCTTCTTATATTATTTCAGATTTTGGTTGCCTGCTTAGAAAGCACTTTCACACCCAGATATTCATACAATTTTCACTAAATGTTTTCTTTTATTGCCCTTATGATTTCTTTTTTTAAAATATTAAAATATTTAGCCCATCTGGAATTCATTTTGGTGTGAGGTATGAGGTACGAATGTAACACTATTTTCCCCTAAGATGGTTAGTAGCTTGTCACAATGCATTCCCCACTAATCTGTCCTTTTCCTGGGGATGTAAGGAGACACCTTTACATGTGTATGTGCTCCTGTGTGCCCTGCACAGCTGAAGGCATCCTGGTATTGTAAGAGTGCAAAACCTGCCGGAGAAGCCTCTCAGAGCCTCTCCTCTGTTATCAGCATTTGTATTGCTAATTCAGTCATTCTTCCAGACGACTTTTAGAATGCATGCTGTTGGGATGTTAACTGACACTTTGCAATATTTATGGATTACTTTGCAGAGAATTAGAATAGTCTTGTTATCTAAATACGGAAAACATTTTATTTCTTCCTTTCCAGTATTTATACAATTAACATATCTCTCTTTCCTCCTTGGAGTTGCTAGAATGTGGCTGCACGGCAATGCTGAGACATGACACTGAGTGAGAGCGGACTTCCTCATTTTATTCCTACCCTTACCGTGGATCTTTCCTGTGCTTCAGCACTCATGTGTAATGCTGGCTGAGCTCTTCTGATAAATACCCTCCATGATGTGAGGAAAACACAGTTAGGAGCAGTCGTTGAATTGTGTGATCTGCCATTGAAGTAATTAACGAGATAATTACTTGGATTTTCTCCTTTAACAAATTATTGTTATAAATTATATTAATGTATGACATGCTAATAAATTATTTCCATATTCCTAGGAATAAAGCTGGGTAGTTCATGGGATATTATTCTTTGAATTTATTCCTGGATTTAATGTACAAATATTTTATGAGGAAGTGTTATATCTATATTCATAAGTGTAATTGTTCTATAGATACTTTTCATTGTTATCTTTGTTGAGTTTGGGCTTAAATGTGATGCTGGTCTAAACAATTTCTAAACTTTCTATTCTTTGGGAACGTTAAAATAGCATCATACTGAACTATTTCCATCAAAGTGTGATAAAAATCACCTATGACCTGCATACTTAAATCTAAGGGTGATAATTGGTGGATCTTGAAGTGTAATTGCTTGTGAGAGAGAAAAAGGCTTGTAGAATTTCTACCTTATTTAGAATAGACTTTGTTAGGCCTAATTCATTATCACTATTTATAAATACTGAGTTAATATAATTTTACAAGAATGAGCTTTGTGCCTTTGTGGCTTACAATGTTTTCTATGTAGGTAGTATACCAAGTTTGTTAATTATATTATTCACACCTTGTATGTCCTTTTTTATCTCGTTAATCCACAAAATCCTGTACAATGTGTTAGAACTTTGCAGTAGCAAACAATTTTATCAAATTTTTATGTTTTATATTTTCACATTATTTCCTCTGAGTATTTGAAATACAAACGTTCATGACTTCAATGTCTTCAATGTGGATTGTATATTTTACTAATAATATGATCATTTTTGCCTCATTGGCTATTTTTTAGGCTTTCTTTCTCTATTTGATATGAATGTTCCCTCCCTTGCTTTGTCTCTATCTGAATTTATCTGCTAGATCCTTGCCTGCCTCCTCAGTGTCAAAGTATCAACCTCCCTGCTTCATTTTACTTTAGATGGATCAGGTTTTGCTGTTTGAAGCACTCTAGGTACTTAGCCTTTGGATAGGGAAGTTAAGCCCACTTACTTTTGGATGTATTCTGATAACCAATACATTCAGTAATAGTCTTATTTTATCTTTTACGTTTATCACATTTCCAGTATTTCAGATTTTATCTTCCTTTCTTTCAGTGGGTTGATCAGTAATATTTTTCCCTTTTGTTTGTTCAGAATTGGCAAGTTATTTATCCAATTTCTACTGAATATATTTGGATATATTTCCAAATGTATTGGATATTGGATGTTGGATATATTTGGAAATATTTGGATATTGGATAAAGGATATATTTTCCAGTGATTACTTTTCAGTTTTACAAACCTAAATACAACACACACAAAAATCTTAAACTTATATTTTGCTATAATTATAAAAAATGAAGTGGTTCCCATGAAACACAGTTTTGGAAGAGAAAGATCTTGTACTTCCCTCCTACTCTATAGATGGGAACTCAGTGGAGGTGGCAGGAATTGGATATTTCTGGAGAAATGTCGTGTATTGTCTATGCAAGAGATTATCAAAAAAAACATGATGAACATGAATAAAAGACTATATGTGGGAGAGGTGAACCTTGGTATGTTTTTTTTTTTTTTTTTTTTTTTATTTGAATTTTTTATATATTTTTTTCTGATGTGGCATGTGACTGTTTTTTCATTGATTTTTTTTTTGTTTTTTTGTTTGTGTGGTTGTGTTGGTGTGTTTTTTGTTTGTTATATGTGTCTATGTGCACAGTGTGTGCGTTTGTGTGATTTGGATGCTGTTTCCTGTGGTGTGTGGAAGTATAATGTGGAATTCGTGTAGGCAGTGTGTGTGCCTGTGATGTGTGCGTGGTGTGCCCAGTGTGGTATGAGTGGCATGTGTGTGTGTAGGTGGTATGTCATGCACTTGTGTATTGCATACATGATATCATGTGCACGTGTGGTGTGGTGTGTGTGTGGCAAGTATATGTGTATTGTGTGGTGTGTGGGGGATATTTGTGTGGATGGTGTAGTATGTCTGGTGTGTGTGTGATATGTGTAGTGTCTGGTGTGTGTGGATGGTGTAACATGCAGTAGCATACATGGTGTGGCATGATGTGTGGCATGTGTAGGTGCATTTGTGGATGATGTGGTATGTTTAGCATGTGTGACTATGGTGTGGTGTGTCTTGTGTATATCATATGTGATGTGGGTGGGATGGTGTGGCGTGTGTGTATGCATGTGTGGCATGTGTGTATGCACGTGTGCTGTGTGCATATGAATGTGTGGTGCATGTCTATGCATGTGGGGCATGTGTGTATGTAGTCTGTGGCACGTGTGTGTAATGTGTATGCATGTGTGGCATGTGTGCTCTGGTCAGGAGTCTGGCTCTGGAAGGTGACAGAAGGACAATAAGATGCATTTTCACTCCAGGCCGGCAGGTCCTGGTGGGGACTGGGCTGCGAGGACTCAAATGACCCAGCCTTGCCTTGCTCCCAGGCCCCACAGAGGCATCCTTTCAGAAATGGCAAGCGCCGCCCCTCAGGGTGGGGAGTGTACTGAGTGTACTGAGTGTGCTGAGGCGGGGGTATTATGATGCATTGTCCAGGAACTGATTACAGCCTTTCTGAAAATATCAGAACAAACCAAAGTACTTTTTTTTCTCTCACTCAACAACGATCAACACAGACTTCTGTGACCATATGTGTAGGTTTTCTCCCCACCACAAGCAAGCAGACACTTCTACATCAGACGATTCTGACATCAACACCTTCTACCTGGAGGTGGCCTCACACCCCATAAGCCCAAGCCTCACGTTCCAAGCCTGCCCTCCACTTTCAATGCCAATGGTAAGGTGATCTTACCTATGCTTCTGACCCACTGGTGTTCCCACCAATCATGTTCCCAGGATGTCTCCTGAGACTTGATTAATTTGCTAGAGCAGCTCACAGAGCTCAGGGAAAGGCCTACTTACATTTACTATAAAGAATGTTACAGAGGAGACAGACACAGAGATGCCTGGGGCAAGACATATGAGGAAGGGTGAGAAGCTTCCATGCCCTCCTGGGGCTGTCAAACTAAAACGAAGAAGCTGAAAGTTTTGCTCCAAACGCCATTGTTTATCCATTTTTGACCACCTGATCTGTTCCATTAGCTTCAAAAGACGCCTTTTCATTTCTTTTGTTTTGCCTTTGATGACCTTCTGCCTGACACAAGCAGTCTTCTAGAATATAGGCCTGTGCTTGGCTTTTCTACACAAACATGAAAAGCCTTCAATTACTGGGGGACACTCATCTCCTCCTTCCAACTAGAGAGCGAGGTGTGTCCCCAGGATAGTGGGACCTTGAGCTCCTCTCGGTCTTGCTTGGGACTTGGTCCAGGAGGTTATGGGAAGAAACTGGTTTAAAGCTGACCTCATGGGTTCGCTATTCTTATGTAACACTTAGGAAGAGCAGAGACCCAGGCGGTTCAGTCCCAGAGCAATGTTGTGGTCAACAGAACACAGTCCAGCTACCAAGAGTTATTTCAAAATAATTCAAGCTCTTTGTTTATATTTCTTGAAAAAGGAAAGAAAGAAAGAAACAGAGAGAAAGAAAGACAGAAAGAAAAAGGAAGGGGTGGCCGAGCTGGAAACTCGGCTTTAAGTCTCCTTTTAGGGGACCCTCAGGTGGGCGCCTGCTTGGAAACCTCTCCACCCCTCCAAACACTCCTTTCCTCCCTGAGTGTTCATTTGTTGATCCAGATTCTGAATAAATGAAGTCGCACAGAATCCACCTGGCAAAAATGGAAACTGCCTGGAGGCCAGGACTGAGGGGAGGCCCGGAGCAGAGCGAGTGTGAGACCCTGCAGTGAGCAGGGAGGGCAGACTGGGGACGTTCGCCACCTTGAGTGCCTCTGCTCCCCGCAGCCCTGAGACTCCAGGCTCCCCTGTTCCGCCCTCCCAGAGACCCTACCCGTCCTCCTCGCGGGGCTCCCTGGAAGCTCGGGGAAGGGGCAGGCTGCGTCCTCGGGATCTTTTTCAGCAACCACAGCAGCGCATCCCAGCACCTCCTCCAGGAGCTCCGCCACCTCCTGCCACCCGGGCTTTCCCCACAGCGCAGCGTCCCCTAGTCCCCTCAGAGCTAGAACAGAGGTACCCGCAGACAGTGCAAAAAGGAAGTCCCTGTTGCCTTCCCATGCAAACTGTAGGGCGGTTAGAGCTGCTGGGGGAGGAAAGCAAAGAAGAAGAAATAAAGTTAAGAGTGATACGGGTACAAAGAAACAAACACGGAGCTTCCGTGGGCCTGCAAAGGAGCCCCAGGAGAAGTACGCTGGGCCTGGGTCATCTCCTGCCTTCAGCGGGCTCCAACCTTCCCTAGGCCCCCCTCCCCCATCCACCTCCCACCCACGGCCCTCCCGAGGCCCCCCTCCCCGCTCCCCCTTCTCGCCTTCCCATCCCCCTTCCCACACGCAGCCCTCCCGAAGCCCCCTTCACCAGCTCCCCATCTCCACCCCTCTCCTCCCCAACCCCGCTCCCCGCCCCCTCCATCCCGCCTCCCACCCGCGGCCCTCCCGAAGCCCCCCTCACCTCCCCACTCCCGAGGCCCTCCCGAGGTCCCCGGGCTCGCGCTCCCTCGAGTTGCCTGCGGCTGAATCCTGGCGCTGCCAGGGACTCCCTGTCGGCGGGGCGCGGGGGGCGGGGAAGTCGTTCCCAACGAAGGGGAAGGAGGACTTTCGTGAGCATCTAAGGAGTACATCCTCACTTTGTCTTCTGACTCTGTCCACCCAGAGCCTGTGACCCTGATCCAGCCCGCGGCGCACAGACCCCGGCTCGGGGCACCCCTGGTGAGCGCCTTCTGCGCCAGAGCTCCGCACAGCACCAGCCCGCGTTCTCCCCCAGCTTCTGTTCATTTGCTGCAGCCTGAACATCCGTGCTGCCAGGTGACAAACCCAGGCACGCAGAGATGTACATCCTTTACCCAGGGTGACACGACGGGGAGCTGAATCCAAGTCCCAGAGTCTGGTGACAGTGTCTGGGCTCTGACAGCGCAGCCGTCTCACAGTGGAACAAATTGGGGACTGGCCTTGTCCTGAGTGGCCTTAGGACAGTGCAGTGGCCTGCAGTCTCCTGGCCAGTCTGTCAAATGTGGCAAAGATGAGGCACCTTGTAGCCTTACATGTTATTTTTCTTTCCTTTTCTCTTCTTTCTTTTCTTTTTTAAGGATTTGAATTAGTATCTGTAAAGTGCTTAATGCAGGAGCTGGCGGAGAAAGTGGATACTCAGTAAATAACAGCAATGGTTAATTGTAAAAAAGCATGCTATTTATCTGGTATAATTCCTCATTCTAAGCACCGTGTTAAGTAGTTGGTAATTCCTCACTTGAAAGAAATTATAAAGAATTTTTGTCAGTTTTTAAAATATTATTTTATGGTGATAAAATATTCATAACATAAATTTCACTCTTTTAATACTTTTTAAGTGTAAAATGCAGATTAATAAGAGAAATGCATACAAATTTATTAACGTGTACACGGGGAAAAATAAGGTGATTACCCAATATCCATGAGGTCCAGATACTTATACAGCCTTTTTTCAGAGAGGAGGGTGGAAGGCGGAATGTAGGTGATTCTGTTGAGGGGCAATAAATGATTATTGAGAAGAATGAATGGGTCAAGAAAGAGAGAGTAATTTGTAAATGGTTCTCTTTGAAAATTTAATAAGCCCGAGAAATGGATTATTTTTTGAAAGAGTCTGTTCAGGTGTGGTCACGTGTTGGTTTTCTTTTCTGCAATAGATAATGAGATAACAAGGAGGGGAAGGAAAAGTAGTTGTTCTCTTCTGTGGGTCTTCAGGGTCTTCATGTAGATAGGGGAGAGGACTCTTCCAGCTTTTGTTGATCTTGAGGGCCTTTAATTGAATATACTCATTATACCAGGGAGCCATATTTTGGGGCCAAGTTCCCTGCACTCCTTCAATCCTCCTGTTTGGGACTTCCCTAAAAGTTTCACATATCAACAGCTGAATCAGTGATTATGGAGAGATTTGGGTTAGAGGAAAAGAAGGGAAAGAAGGGGAAACAACAAATAGGGATAAGCAGAAAAGGAAAAATACATAAATATATTGTTGCATATCTTCTTGAATCAGTCTCTTAGTCCTAAGAGTAGAAGCATTCAGTCAAACAGCTGTGTCCATTCTAGGAGGTGGCACTACAGAGGGGCTGGACTTCTACAGCTGATGCAGGCAAGCTGGTCTTTAATAAGAGGCATTTCTATGGAAACAAAAGAAAAACAAAGGTTTTTCTTAATGTCTGGAGTAGTCCATAATAAACTAGTTTTTTTAGAGTCTCAGAAGTATTTTCAAATTGTAGTGGCAATCTTACAGATTTTCCTGGATTGTAGTCTGAATTACGTGTTCATGTGAACTTCCTGAGTAGCCCACACATCAGCAGGCACAAAGGCTGTGTACATGTGAGTTTCTGTGCTGACTCCTGAAGTTTATATCAAGTTGTCTAACTTTAGTTTGCAGGGCTTCAAGAAAGACAGTGTTAAATTCTAGTGATTCCAAGTGAGAAAAATGAGAGAAAAATCCAAAAGCATTAGTTTGAAGACTTGCAGCCAAGAAAGAATTCAGGATTTAGTCCAAATTGTAGGAAAATAATAAAAACTCAAAAACAATGGGCAAGTCTAGAATCTGATAACAGGCATACTGTACTTTTCTTCTGAAACACAATTTTTTTCTCCCATTTCCCCATTTTTACCAAGAGTAAATCATATTTATGCTTGACAACATATAGATATTATGATATATCAGAATAATATTCAGAAAAATATGACTAAAAAAATAAATTCCATTATGTATTTGACATTTGACAATGCTTCCCATGTGATTTTAACATACCAAATAAGCCAAATACGTCTTTCTTAGATTTCCAGAGGTTACTTTTAGAAAAAATTTAATTTGAGAAATTGAAATTTGACTTTGGGAAGTATATCAAACATGAAATGTTTAAAACACTTGATCTAATTAGGATTACAGTTCACTGTAAATAATAGTCATTCATTTAACCAAAGTGATAATTCAAAAATGTCAAACAACTTTTACTCTTTGAGAGAAAAGACTCAGTTTTCTAAATAATCGAAAGACCTAAAGAGTCAAAAGACTTAATAAAGATCTTTTTTTGTAGTTTACTCAAAAGTTGAACAAAAGCCTTTTACTATCCTTACTAATACTACATGAAAATCTTGTTCAAAGGAAGAAAGCATATTCTACATTTGTGTCAGTATATTATTAACACTAAAGCTAAATTTGATAATGACTTATAAATAAATCCATCCAGTCTAAATCAGCTTTGACCATACAAGATAAGCTTTCCATAAACCTCTTACAATATTTTATAATTATCTATTAAAATTATAGGGAAAACCCTATTGTTCAAACACAGGAGCCCGGACTCTGACCTTACATTAGTGTGCTTTTCATATTAATGCTCAATCTTTAGAAAAACTTAAAATAATTCCCTTATAATTTTAGCCAATTTGATCGCACACAAAATTCTTTTCGCAAGATTCATCTTTCACAAAACTACAACTAGTTTAAACTTTCAGTTTTGTCCTATACTTTCTCTTTTTGTATTGGAATTCTATAAAAATGTGATTTTCTCTCTTTCTTATTGTTTTGACCACAAAGTTCTCAGTCGTGTAAAAGAAAAAAATTACTTTCTTTTTTCAACTTTCTTTACATCTTACTTCCTTTATATGCTCTATAATAGGGGTTTTTCCTATATCAAGTAGTTTTAATTATACATATTAGCTATAACATTGACTCTTAGTGCTACAAGTAGTTAGACAGCTGTGAGTGGGGCAGGATAGGGCTCCCCACCCACTAGGAACATTAGGTGCTGGTTTGGCAATTATCACTTGCCTCTCTAAAAGTGATAAGTAAAATAAAATAAACAAAAGTGATAAAAAGCACCAGAGAGAGGCCATTTCCTGATGGCCAAGCCTGTTGCACTAAAACGTTATTTAACTGAATGCAGGCACCAGGGAGAAGCAACTTCCTGGACATCTACATTAAGAGACAAAATGGTGAAGTATGACCTTATGGGACCACACCACCAGAAAAGGGAGGAAAGTCTCAGATGGGAATGCATACAACTTCCTGAACACACTGCGCATGCTCGGCTCCCAAGGGTAAGGCAGGCACTGCGTATGTGGGCAGTTCCCCCTAAGGGAAGGATCATGGCAAAGAGGCCAGCCTATAAAGCCTTAGGGTCAAGGTTAAACACCACACTTGACCTTTGGTGCCCACTTGGGTCTCTTCCAGGTGAACCTTCTTTTCTCTCCTGTTCTAACACCTTTCTAAATAAACTTCCACTCCTGCTCTGAAACTTGCCTCAGTCTCTTTCTGCCATATACCCCTTAGTTGAATTATTTCTTCTGAGGAGGTAAAAACTGAGATTGCTACAGACCTGTATGGATTCACCACTGGTAACTTGGATACTTTCCACTGATGATATTGGTAACCGTAATTTCCAGTAAAAAACCTAAAAAGTAAATTTTGAACTGTCTTATACCAGTACTTGTAGATGAAAACTATTTCATAACTTTTCCTTATATATAGATTAAATATATTTAGTTTTTCTATATCATATAAATGACTCATGAATTTTATAATTACCTATCAATTTAACATAATATGACTTTAATATTAAGTTTCTGAAAAAGATTTTTGAAACTGTGAAAATTTTGTTTATAAACTTTTATTCTGTTTATATTTATTTAATGTATTCATTCTTAACAATTATACTTGAATAGTTCATTAAACAAAGTCAGGCATCATCTCAAGTTATTTCTTTGTTAATCACTTCTGTAACCCACAATGTTAGGCAGTTACCATGTAAAAAAGAGCTCTAAAGTTAAACACATGTTTATTTTGCTGATCAGAAGACACAGCTGTTTTCATTAAACCAATAATGTTAAACTAGTTATTTACTAATGTTTTCCAAGTCATGTGAACTAAAGGCATTTGAATTAATTTCTATTTTTCTGCTAAAATATTTTATTTAAGCAGTTTCTTTTTCGTTAAGTCAATGAAATAGATATTTTATATATTTTGGTAGTGAAATATCACATAAACACGACACATATAAACATGAAGACATTCAGACCCATGGATAAAAACCGGCTGTATAGCTTTATATAGTTTTTTATTTGCCAGTTTTTAAATAATTTTCTTCCCCCTTTAAACTATTAACTCTTGATTACCTGTTCCATTGCTCTAGACTGTTGTTAGTTAAGCAACCCTAAATTTACACCTTCAAAGGGATGACAGGTGAAAGTTTACATCTCCAAGGCATAGAACTTAGATCTAAACACCATTATTTGCTGAAACAAAAAGGACATGAATAAAGGCCCACTCAAAACAAGATTGTCAGGAAAAGTATCCTAAACAAAGGTAAGATTTGGTGTATAAACGTTAAACCAATATCTTTCTTATTGTAAAAGTTTCTAGTGGCTCCTGCGCAGGGAAGTACCCTTATAAATGGAGATTTCCTTAAAGATATAAATTTCCTTAAAGATATAAATATAAAGATATAAATTCTTCTGTACAGAGTGTCAAACTAGTCAGCTAAATGCCAGCGATCGATCTAGTTAGAGAGGGGGGATCTTTCAACTTAGTGTATTTCTTGATTAGGTTACTGCCTCAGAGTGGATCCCTTTAATGAATAGGGCAAAGAAAGTATTTGCAGTTTCCCTGGCCTAATATTTGGAATGTAAAAAGCAGCACAACTGGAAGGCAGTGCATCTAGATGGTTAAAAATCAAGGACCCCACTGCTATATGGATCTGTAGGACCGCCAAAAATGGGAAGCACCACAGGGCCAGGCTGTGCAATGTTTCTGCAGCACGCCTTGCTACAGAGATTCCCCT